GGGGCAGCCACAGCTTCTCTGGGCAACCTGTGCCAGGGCCTCACCAGCCTCACAGGGAAGAATTCCTTCTCAATATCCCATCTAACCCTTTTCTCTGTCAGTTTGAAGCCATTCCCCCTTGTCCTGTCCCTCCATCCCTTGATAATAGTCTCTCTCCATCTTTCCTGTTGGTTCCTCCATGCCCTGGAAGGCCACAATCAGGTCACCCCAAAGCTTCTCCTCTCCAGGCTGAACAATCCCAGTTCTCAGCCTTTGCTCCCAACAGAGCTGCTCCATCCCTCTGATCACCTTGCTGCCTCCTCTGGACTCACTCCAACAGCTCCATGTCCTTCCTGAGGGTGTCTCATCCCCTCAGGTGTCCTGTCCCCATCCCTGGGAGTGTAACTGGGCAAGCACAGGAACTTTAACAGCTCAGGCCCCCCAGGACCAGAGGACACGGCCTCAAGTTGTGCCAGGGGAGGTTTAGATGAACTATTGGGAAAATTTATTCCTGTAAAGGGCTGTCCAGCCCTGGCACAGGCTGGAGGCCCCATCCCTGGGGGGATTTACAAGCCACCTGGATGTGGCACCTGGGGACACGGTGGTGACCAAGGTGGTGGTGCTGTTTGATGGTTTGACCTGATGATCTTAAAGGTCTTTTCCAACCTTAACGATTCCATGATCCTCTGATTCTATGGTTTTTTTCTATTTGAAGGGTGAAAGTCCCAGGCTGTGCTCCCTTCAGTCCCCCAGCACAGCAGGGAAGGAAGCCCAGGCCGGCCCCGTGTCCCTTCCCCACCTCCATCCGTCGGATGTCGATGGACAGCACGGTGGTGAAGAAGAACATCTGCAGGAAGAAGTCGGACACCAGGCCAACCACGGCAAAGAGGCAGAACTCCTGTGGGTGGGAGACAGGGATCAGCTCTGATTTCTACCCCAGAACACAGGAACTCAGCAAAGCCTTGCCCAGAGCCCAGGGCTGGGTGTTCTACTGACAAACCCCAGAGTGACTGAGGGTTTAGGGCTGGGAAATCTCATTTTATTCAGATTCTCATTCTTTGCTCTTTTTAGCCACAAACCGTGTGCCTCAGGAGCACCCACGGTGACACTGGGACAGGGGACAGGACACTGGGACAGGAGAACAGGACACTGGGACAGGGAACAGGACACTGGGACAGGGAACAGGACTCTGCCAGCAGAACAGGGCAGGGGGGCAGGAGAACAGGAAACTGGGACAGGATGTGGCACTTGGGGACGAGGTCAGTGGTGGCCTTGGCATTGCCAGGGATTGGTTGGACTCAGTGGTCTCCGAGGCTTTTCCAAGCCAAGCAGTTCCATGGCTCTGTGCCTCGAGCCCCTGTCCCACTCCCCACACTCACCTGGATGGCCGGGACCAGGGTGAAGTACCCGATGAGGATGATCCCCAGCTCCGTTGCCATGTTCTTCATGATGGACCAGCTCTCGTTGCTCAGCCCTGGAGAAAGGCAGGGACAGGTCAAAGGAGCCTCTTCCCTGGTGCCAGCAAAGGGAACTGCATTTCCCTTCTTCAGAACCACAGACAACAGGCAAAAAGGGCCTTTCAGGCTAAAATTCCAGAGTGCAAAGGCCCACTGAGGTCTTGGGGCTTGTTTTCCATCTGGGATGCAAAACACCTTTGTGTTTTGTTATTGTTAAAACTAGGTAAGATTTTTTCTGGGCATCACTCTGGGCTCTCTCCTCCCTGATGGTTAGAAACAGCTTTGAAGTTTGCAAGTTCCATTTAGCCATGGTTTGGGCACACTCAAATCCTCACTCAGGCACAGAGTGTTTAGAGAATGGAAAAGATAATTTTGTCACAATTCAGGAGAATTTGGTACCACCTGTGGACTGCACTCAGGATATCCCTGACACGAGGACAAGGTGCTCAATATTACACCAGCAGATCCAGCTCTCCCTTACTACTCTGTTTTTAAACTTATTTAGCCATGTCTCAGTCCACAACCCCAAAAAGCAGTGCCCACAACAACAGGGTTATGTTATTTCTCGGGATTAAAAACGGGACAAAAAGATGAACCATTCACACTGTTTTCCCCCGTGGAGCAGAATCAGACCTTTCCCCCTCTCCCAGTCCTTGGGATTCCCAGGTTTCCCTCCCTGGAGCCTCCCAGAGCACAGCCCCCACCTTGGGCGATGCGCAGCTTCACTTCCAGGTCCACGGGCGTGGAGACGACGGACTTGGTGAGGACCAGCACGTTCTCCAGGCCAATCACCACCACCAGGTACGGGAAGATCTCCCTGCAGGGCACAGAAGTGGAGCTGAGGGGGAGATCCAGGGTGGAAAGGAGGAAAGAGGCAGCTGAAGCAGCAAACACAGCCCGGAGTCGAGGTGAGGAGACACCCCCAGAGCCCAGTCCCTTCTCCCAGGGTCACACTGGGATGGGGGAAAAGGTTTGTGTTTAATCCCCACTTTTGCAAAGCTGCAGGAATTTCTGGAAAGTGGCCCTTGTGGAGCACCACTGCATTGGTGTTGGTGCTTCCCAGGGTGGGGACAGAGCCCTCACTCTCCAGCACCTGGTACAAGGAGGTGTAAAGAGAGGGGTGGACCTGGAACACTGCAGGGGACTTGGGGGTAATTAGTCATCAGGGAGGGGGTTGGGAGCGTGTCCCACCTCCACAGGGACCATCTGATAAACCCCAGCTCAGCACCACAGCAAACACAGCTTTCCAACTGGAATTCCCAGGTGAGGAGCAGGGGCAGGGCCTGGCTTGGACACCCTGTGGGCCAAAGTTCCAGCCTGGGGGGCTCTGAGTGATCCCACCCTGGGCAGTGAAGAGACACATGAAGGGATTTCTCAGCTGGGAGGTGGTGGAGCTCTGCTCTCCAGCCACAGCACCGGGAACAACCCCAGCTGTGCACGTGCTTTGTGCATAAATAACCTAAACTCTGCCAGGGAGAGCCAAGAGAACACCCTGCAGGCAGCACAATAACCTAAACTCTGACAGAGAGAGCCAGGAGAACACCCTGCAGGAACCACAATAACCTAAACCCTGCCAGGGGGAGCCAGGAGAACACCCTGCAGGCAGAACCTCGGGACAGGAGACTGCTGTGAGGAAAGGGCTGGAAATCCTCAAACAAAGACAGTGCAGGCACAGGAGGAGGTGTGGGAGAACCTGCTCAGCTCCGGGAAATCAGGTTATGAACAAGACGTTCTCCCAACAATTCCTTCTGCTTTAGGCACACAGAGCCAGCTGCTCAGAGGAACCTCCCAGAGGACTGGGCTCTGGCCAGCAGGGAAACACATCCCCCTGATCCCTGGAGAGCTGTGATGGTGCCTGTGCAGGGCAGTGTGTGACTGATACCCCAGGAGCACTGACCAGCCTCCCACATGCATCCCCCCGGGCAGAGGGGCCGGACATACCCTCCATTGAGCGTGGGGGTGAGGCCAAAGAGGGTGCAGAGCCCCACGGACATGAGCAGGGAGCTGAGCACTGTCACCACTGCAGCCAGAGCCAGGCCCCACTTGGACTTCACCATGTCGATCTTCCCTGGAAAACACAGCACGGATTAGCAGGAACAGCCCAGGGCATCCACACTAAGGGAGGAGGGACCCTCGTCCTGACTGACTTCAGGAGGTAACCCAGACCCCCCAGCCCCCAGGAAAGGGGAGTTCAGTGTCAGGGCCTGAGGTGCAGCTCCCAGAGCCTCCCAGAGCCTCCCAGCACACGGGTGGGACACGGGACAGTGCTGGTTCCCAGCTCAAACCAATCCCAGCCCAGCACTGAGGGGTGAAAAAAAGGAACTGAAATGTGGCCAGAGGGGTCTGACCTGTCTGATAATGGATGGAATAATCCGGGGAAAAAAGTCATTCCTATGGCATTTAAAAGGTGCCTAAGACAGAAAACACCTCAGAAGTTATCACAGAATCACGGAATGGTTTGGGTGGGAAGGGAGTTTAAGGATTATCTTGTTCCAACCCCCTGCCATGGGCAGGGACACCTTCCACAAGACCAGGACACTTCCAGGGATGGGGAGGTGTATCCCAAGGAATAACCCCACACTGGCTAAGGGGACAAATCAGCAGAAAGTGGATAAAAAGGACTATGAACTGTCTCCATGAGAGTCCAGGGTAACATTCCAAGAGCAGCACTGCTGCTGAGACAGGCGGGGATGGCAGTGCCACAGCCAGGAGTGCCTCATGGGGGCCCTGCTGATCAGCAGCCCTGGCCCCACAGGAGCTGGGAGGTGCCCAAGTGGCCCCCCAGCCTGCAAGGCCCCCAACCTACGTGTGGAGAAGTAGATGTAGGCGAAGAGGATGATGTAGGTGGTGACGAGCGGGATGAGCTCGGCGATGCCGATCTCCTCCTTGAAGTGCACGTGGACCACGCTCTCCTCCCGCAGGGAGCAGTTGGGGCTGGGGTGCAGCAGCTTCAGGCGGGAGCGGAGGCTGCTCAGGAACCTGCACAGGGGGAGAGCAGCAGAGCAGGTCCCTCACACTGCTCCCAGAACCCACACACAATCCCCAGAGCCCAGCAGGAAGCGGCTCCATAGATTCACTGGGACCGACAGGGCGTGGGTCTCTCCAGTCTCACTCCCAAGGGTGTTCCTGGGTGGCCCAAACTCACAGACCTTGATTTCTGCCAAGATCTGCTGTTCATTCTCTCCAAATCTATTTAAAGCAAAGGCTCATCAGCCAGAATCTGGGCCCTGGGGAACAGGACACGCCGTGGTCTCAAACACCCCCAGAATTTCCACAGAATCACAGAATTCTGTGTAAAAATGGCTGGGAGAGGTGCCACACGACAGTCCTGGGGGCTGTGGGGTCCTGCAGAGCAGGTCTGGACTCCTGAGCTGCCAATTCCACCCCAGGCATCCCTTGGGGAATTCTGTGCAGCACTGAGTCCTCAGATCCACTTGATCTATGCTGGCTTTGCCAAAGCGCTTTCACCGGTGGAACCAGTGGTTACTGGGAAGCAAACCAGTCTGTGAGCAGGGAACTGGGTCAAACCAGCCCCACTGGACTCTGGATGCCACAGGAATTCCCAGTGGCATCTCTGGATATTACAGACAATATTTTTTCATGAGGAGCTGAGAACCGATCGTATTTTATCTCCTTAAAACACGGCGAGTTTTCTCTCCCAAACAGCTCCTTCGGGGGGTCCAAAGTGCTCTAAACCCCAGGAGAACGGAGACTAAAGGCAAACACGGCAGTGGTGAGTGGGGCAAAGAGCCCATTCTCTGGGAGCAGCCCAGGCCCCGGGGAGCTGGGCTGTGCCTCACCTGGAGTCGTAGCGCTGCAGCGCCAGCGTGACGGTGTAGGACACCACGCGCTGCCGCTTGGACAGGCTGACCCCGCTGCTCCTCCCGGGCAGCCCGAACAGCAGGTCTGCAAGGACACAGGGACAGCAGTCAGGGGACAGCACAGCAGGGGACAGCAGGACACGAGGAGAGGGCACACGGCTGTGCCTGGTGAAGAACAGCGGGGACTGCTCCGATGGAAGCACTTCCCGGTGCTCGGTGACACCAACGGATGGGGGGCAACACCCGGCGCAAGGAGTGGGGATGGAGCATCACAGATATTGGGTCAGGTATTGTGTTTCACAATATCTGTATCACAGATATTGTGTCAGCACTGCCGAGGCCCCACCTCCAGTCCCGGGGCAGTTTTGGGGTCCCCAGGCACAGGACATTTGAGGGGCTGGACAGGGGGGAGTCCCCATCCCTGCAGGGATTTCAAAGCCCTGGGGATGTGGCACTTGGGGACATGGTCAGTGGTGGCCCTGGTAGTGCTGGGGAATGGTTGGGCTTGATGGTCTCAGAGGGCTTTTCCAGCCCCAACAATTCTCTGATTCCATGATTCTCCCTCTATTTCATTTGCAAGTGAGCTCTCACACAGGCTCCACGAGCTCCATCCTCAGTGTGCTCACACTCTGGATGCTCAAAAATAACCTTTAAAGCAAACTTACTTCAGGGTTACAACTCCCTTTTCAGACATGTCCCATTATACATTTTACACTTCCTGACAGGTACAAAGTTCCTTTAAAACCAAAGGACTGAAACAGCATTTAATACACCATTTCCTCTGGCATTATGGAGCCACTAATGGTCCCACACACGGTCAGAGGGTTTTTTTTTAATTAAGAGAGGAAAAATACATTTCTGATCTCCATTGTCAGCTCGGGCTGTGTGCAGGGAACCATCAGTGAAGGCCCAGGGGAGCAGGATGAATGTTCATTTATCCCTGACAACGGGGAGTGTGACAGAGGGAAAAGCCAGGCTGGAGCTTGGGTGGAGTGAGAGGAACAAAACAGCTGCTATTTTTACCTGCAGAAAGGAGCCTGACTGAGTGAATTATTCATCTTCCACATTCTGAGCTCAAACACAGATATAAAATAAGAGCTGTCACAGATTGGGCACCTTGCTTTCAGCTGCTGTGAGTGACAAAATGCCACCCAAATCGGGACTTGGAGCGATCCAGATATTGGAATTAGCGAGGATGGAATAACAATGGAATCCGTGGGCAACTCTCACAGCGCCTGTGGCACTGCAGCACCTCACCTTTGAGAGTGGCTGACGTCTGCAGGGTCTTGGGCTCATGCTGGTGGATGGTTTTGAAGATGTCTGGGTCGGCATTGAAGCGCTCCCGGTCGTTCTGCCAGAAGTTCCCCGGAGACAGCAACAGGCAGCCGTGCTCCGGGAGCAGGTTCCGCAGCTTCCTGAGGCCAGGCAGGAGATCTGTGACCTGCAGGCAAAGCTCCTCCAAGCTCCTGACTCCAGAACTGAAAGGCAAACACGGGGGAGTGGGACCCAAACTGTCCTGTGTGTGTTTAACTCTCCCTAAGGAAAGGCAAAGCCGCCGAGATGGACATTCCAGCACCTTCCTCACTGTGTCGCTGCTCTTCTTCCTCACAGCTGAGGACCAGGAGCCTGCTTCTCCCTGGAACTAGGCACAGGCTCCAGAACTCCACCCTCACTCCTCTGGCTGCTGCCTGCCCACACAGCTCTCACTGCTCACCCATCCTCAGTGACGCGATTCCCACTTGCACATTCTCCACTCAACAGAGAGATTTGTCTCCCTGGAATTCTTCTTCCAAGTCCCCAAACCCCTCTGCACACCCCTCCCCACACACAGAACAGGATGTGTCACAGGAGTCCTGGCCAGCCCTCCTGAAGTGGGTCCTGTGAGGTGCCCAGAGTGCTCTAAAACCTTCCAAGGATGCAATGTCTCACCTGGCTGTGGTGTCCTCCCAATTCCCCTACTTTGTGTGGAAAGGAGAACTTCTGAACCTTAGGGCTTCAGAAATCCACAGAGCTGTAACTGGTATGAACTGGAACCTGTGTTTGCTCCCAGACTTCCTTTACCACAGTGACAGAATCCTTATCAAGCACTGATCCAAGCAGAACTCAGCCTGGGATTGCACAAGGCCCTGGTGTGAAGGGTCAGTGACAGAACCAGCTGTTGGACAGACAAGGAGGAGCTGCTGGTCCAGAAGAGACAATTCCCTCCTTGGAATACAGAAACTGGTGGGATCTGCCCAGGAAAGGTGTACTGAGCAGAGGCCAAGTGAAGAACAGAGACCAGCCCTTGCTGGCTCCGGCCTCGCAGGTCACAGGAAGGTGGTTCCAGAGGAGATTGTTTCTAAACTACAAAGAGCAAACACAGAAATCAATACATGATGATTTGTCCTTGTGAGGGCTCCCTCCAGAACCTGCATCCAGTGGCTGTATGGCAGGACACCCGGAGAAGTCACAGCTACCAAAAGACAAGACTGGAAAATACACCCAGAAAGAGGGTGTTTGTAGGGACAACAGCTTTGGGAAGAACAATTTAAAGGGATTGATGCAGTGATGCCTCTGGTAGCTCCAGGAAGAGCCAGCTGACCTGTGTAAGGTGACAGATAAGGCCACACAAAAGAAGAAAAACCCTCCTGATGGTTTCCTGGAAAACCCCAGCACTGGGAGACATTCCCAAAAACTGATAAAAGGATTAAAAGGAAGAAACAGAGATAACCCAGGAACTGGACCCTTGGGCCTATTTCATCTGTCTATCACCCCAAAATTAGGTTACTGACTACAGCCACTCCAACTGCCTAAAGAGAAAGGTATAAAAAGAGATTGGGCCCGAGCAAAAGCTATTCCTTATACACAGACACTCATTTTACTTTTGCTCCACAGCACTTCAAAATTTTTCCTGATTACTTCGTTGTAAGTTGCTTTTGCTCTATGCTGTGCACTTCAGTTTTTTGCTTTACTTATTCTGTCTCAGTTGTTTTACTTCTCTGTAAGTTGCTTTTGCTTCAGTGTGTGAGCCTACGCTTTGCATTACTGTTATTATTATCACTACACAGTTTAAGTGTGGGGTTTTTGCAGTTAGACCCTATTCCAGACACAGTGAACCTCACAAACTGTCACAAATTTGTATAAATAAAGGTGTTATTTCGTGAACTGTTCAAGTGAGTCCCTTTTCAGGTGCTGAAATAACTCAAGAAGAACCTGCTGAGGGGTTTTCTGAACACTTTTGGTGCAGTCCTTACATAAAAGGTACCAATAATTCCTGTCCTCTGGGGAATCTGTTAAGTGAAGGTGATACAGCAGCAGAATGTTCTGGACATTAAAAGGCTTTGATCTCCTGGGGGACACTGACAGACACTGATAAATTAATACAGGCTGGACAGAAAATTCTTCTTTTCTGCCCCTTTTAAGGTGACAGAAAATGGTACCAGGAAGGTGGGGTGTCAGGAATATTCTTCGGCAAAAATGCAAATTTACCTCTTCCCAAGTGGAGCAGGAGTGCACTGAAATGCTTAAAAAAGCTAAAGGAAAAGTTCTGAAATGCTTGAACCACCTTAAAACTCCACCTGTGAACCGCAAAGAGAAACCACTGCCAGAAAAACAAACTGCTGGAGTCAAACAGCCCCAAAAGTCAATAACTCATCCAGATATGGGAATCTGGAAAGGGCATATTTGCTGTGACAAAACCACAGAAAACTCTGTTTCTAATGAAAGTTAGAATTGCTGTTCTGCACGATGATTCCTGCTCCCCAACAGAGGTGGCAAAAATGCAAGAAAATACAGAGAAACTGGAGTTACAATTCCAACAACAAAGTGTGTTTGGTGCACAACAAAAATCTAAAGATTCACCTACTTCTGAACTGATTGGTGATGTTGAATATGTGGGTCTGGAATCAGACAGTAAAGTATTAAAGTTATTGTCATCCTGTAAGAGGGAAACGGGAGAAAAACGGAAAACTCCAGTTTCTGAACTGGTGGCTAAAAACAAGTTGTTTAGAACTGAAGTGAACAACCTCACGTTTCCCCTTCCCGCAGCAGGCCGGGAACAAAAGGAGCTGCAGGTAAAGGAGGTGCTAACAGCTTAAAAAGAACAAACCCTGCTGCTGTTAAACCATTGTGCATTAACAAACAACTGCCCGGTGTTAAACTCGCTGAAGGCAGGGTTTGCCAGGCGACCAAAACCCACCGAAAGAACAGGAAAAACAATTCCTGGGGACTCTTCACTGCAGGCACTTGTCTGCAAACGCGACTCTGCAGCAGCTGCTGTGCCTGATGCCCTGAACTCAACAGCTAACACACACGGTGGGAACAGCGCCCAAAGAGAGAAGGGTCATCACTCGGGCTTTGGGAATCCTCCTGCCTGGGGAAAACCGCAGAGAGAAACCCGTGGGCTCCCTTTTGCTGCAGAAAAATGCACCCTGATTTTTTGATTAAACTCTCAAAACGTGACCCTGAATCAGGTGAAGTTGAAACCCAGCCCGCAGCAGTGCAGAGGGGTGCTGAGAAGCTGCAGGCACCGCAGTGAACCCAGCAGGTGCTCTCTCTAAAGGGAACCCACGGCTCCAGGGACAGAGGCAGAGCTGCAAAAAACCCTAAAGGCAACCCAGCTCAAACAGGGACTGTGTCAGGTTTTTACAAGGTTTTTACAAGGGTCTCCCTCTGATCCCAGAGGAGATCCACCCCCAAACCTGGGCACAAACTGTAAATCCAAGTGGTAAACTCTTCGGGAAGCAGCAGCTGGGATTTTGTTTGGATCTCAACCCCCTCTTTCTGACCAGCCTGGCTGGCTCAGGAGTGAACCCAGCCTATTTCTCTTTTCCCTTTCCCAGGAACACCCTCAAAAAGCAGGAAGGGCACTCAGCAATGGTGTGACCTTACACCCCTCTCTGTTCCTGTACCCAGCTGGTTGTCACCTACAACGAAATAAAAGTGTCTGACTGTGCTGAACGACTTGCTGAGTGTTCACTGGAAGAGAAACCCCTCCGGGGCTTGGGGTTTTTTCCCTTTTCCTCTTTCTCCAGGAATGCAACCCCCCCCATGACTGAAGACACTGCCAGCAAACTGCCCTGGAACTCTTTTAACTTGTGGGATGTGCACAGAAACCAAGTCAACACTCCATAAATTGTTTTTTCGGGGTTTTTCAATGGTTAATTTGTAGTAGGCCGAATTTTCACCTCATCTTTTTATAGGCACAAGCTACGAGTGAATCAGAACCGCCTGAGACTGATGAAACATCTAATAATTATTTAGATTATTAGTTTATTAATTCTCGTACTGTGTTTGTGTTTTCATCAAGAGCCACTTGTTGGAAGACCAACTATTAACAACCAAGTTATATAAAATAAACCATTTTATGTGTTATTAGTTTAAATTTTAATAAGTTCACTTTGTCTTTTCTTTTGTCTTTATTAAATAAAACAATAGTGTGGGAAAACCTTTTACCTTATCAATATATATAACTTTATTTCAATCAATTAAAAAAATTAAAAATTCAACCAAATATAACTTGGAAGTAGACACCAAGATTTATGCATATATGAAATTATGTAAATATGTGTAAACGTTTCCAATTCTTCCTCAGGTAACTAGTTTTTTTTTCTTCCTTCCTTAGCCAAAAGGAAAGATAACTACAGAATGTAAATATGACCTGCAAATAAAATATAAAAAAAACTATAACTATTTTTTTAAAAAAAGAAAATACTTATATTCTAAGTACTTTTTATTTTACCTCACTTTCTGTTACCTATGCTAATCAATCATTGTCAACAGAATGTGATAAGAGCAATTTATCCACTGGAAAAAAAAAAAAGGGAAAACCAAGTTTATTTTAACACAACCTGTGCTTGCATCTTGTTTATAACAGAAACAAGCCATAAAACCATCATTTAATTTTATAAAATTCATGTGTGACAGGGTGGTCATAAATAAAAAATGTGTACCTCTAAGTATACTTATGCTTAAGCTGCTTTTTATAAACAGAAATGGAGCATCACAAAGAAGAGTGGAAATCCACTCTTTCTGTCCCTAAAAGGAATTAATGAAAACATCTCAATGGGATGCTAAATTAAAAATGATGTTCTAAATGCACAAGAACAATCTCACACGTTGTAAACTGTACTACAAAAGAAAAATAAATATATGCCTGCTTTTTAAGCACAAATCCTGACATAACTTTAAAAAACCCCTTTAAACAGAGCCTGGGCCTTCAGTCCCCAGGTGAGTCAAGCTGCTGGTGCAAAATAGTATTTCCACCATGATCCAGGTTGCTCACATCCCTGCCAACCCCATGTGTGGGGTGCAGGTGACATCCTGAGAACAGCACTGGCAGCTCTGGTAGGTGAGCTCTCAAATATTCAGCTATCAATTACCAAACTGGGGCAATCACCACTGACCTCAGGAAATCCAAACAACCCTCTAGACTTCTCCCTTTTAACTTTGGGAACTAATCAGTGGCCTCTAACAAACCTGTTACTGCAGTGAGAGAGAACTGGCTAAAAAAAGAACCAAAGACCAGCAGCTGATCACAGATGCACTTGGCATCACCCAAACAAACACCCCTCTGGCTCTCAGATGTGCCCAGGGGTACAGCCAATAACAACTGCCTTCTCAAAAGAAAGGGGAAGGGAAAAACCACCTCACCCAACAAAACTCAACAGGTGATTTGGAATAATCCAACTGATTCAAACAGAAAATGGGATGCTGGTGGTATCCAGCCAGTCTGACCTCTGAGCCCAGCACAGCCCCAGCTCTGGGCTGCCAACACAGGGCTTTGGGCCATGGAACACACCCAGCCACTGCCTGAAAACCAAACCACACAGGACTGTGCTCTGCCCTCTACAGCACAGAGGAGGAACCTGAAAAGATGAAAATAAATAACAAACTGTTGATGCTAATATATGTACTGTACGAGGGCAACAAGGATTTGTTTGTGAAGGTAACACCATTAAAGCCCCAGGCATTTGTCCAGACACTGAACAAAATGTCTATAATTTAAATTAAAATTATTAGGGTAAATTAAAATTTATCCTAATGAAAATTTAAAACCAGTGCTCATATATATTAATAAAAACTATGCTTCCATAAAACTTTGTGTAACTCGGTGCTTGTAGATAATGTCATTGCAGATACAAGTAATGGCTCTAATGCTTGTGTTTGTAATTTTGTTAACGTTACAAAACACAGTTTTAATTGCTATCAGTTTTTAGAATCTAATTATATTCTAATTCAGGATTTACAGCCTGCCCCCACGAGCATGAATTTCACACCAGTGAAAGGGACTGCTGCAAGATGAGACTTGAGACAATTACTAAAAGGTGCTCAAGAAAATGGACAAAAAGCTAATTACTGCCTATCACAATGCAGAAGAAATATCCTGTGTGACAAAAGGAGTGAAAAAGGATGGGGAACACCCTGGTGAGACACCCTGTCTGGGTGGGCCCCTGCAGCTGCCAGAATCTGCCACCAAATGCTTCATCCTGTTATCACACTGTTGGTATTGACCTCCTTGCTTCTCATCCTAGTGATTGTGTTTCTATTAAAGTTTGGGTCATTATGGAACAACCAGCCCCTGAGTTACCTGCACTGACACTGGGCAATCCCCAGGGTGTAAAATCACATCACTGCACAACTCTAATTGAATATTGTGCAGTGTGAGTGGCTGTAGCCACGGGGTGGGAATTGTAAGGTGATAGATAAGGCCACAGAAAAGAAGGAAAAACCCTCCTGGATGGCTTCCTGGAAAAGCCCAGCACCTGGGGAGACATTCCCAGACACTGAGAGAAGGATTAAAACCAAGATATGGAGATTTTTTTCTGCCCCTTTTAATGTGACACCACAGTGTGTCCCTGGGGGGATGTTGTGGGTGCAGAGTGACACCAAAACCCAGGAACTGGGCACACCACAGATTCCAGGTCACACCAAAACCCAGGAACTGGGCACACCACAGATTCCAGGTCACACCAAAACCCAGGAACTGGGCACACCACAGATTCCAGGTCACTCCTGGTTTTACAGGGGGAGAGCTCAAAGCTCAACCACCTTGGGCTGAGGAAAACACACCCACGGTGTCTTCCTGCCCAGTCACACTCAGCAACCACAGCTCCTTCTGGGCTTCAACATGAAAAAATAATATAAAATAGAAGATAAAAGAATATAAAGCAGAAGATAAAAGAATATAAAATAGAAGATAAAAAGAGGCCTGTTTGTAAATCGAGGAAATCCACTGTGCTCAACTTTGATAGGGACAAAAGCAACCTACAACAAGAACTTCACAATGACTTTCAGAAATTATCTCAAAATCAGATGTTTCCTCACGTGTCAGAGCCCACCACTGAAATGGTGACCTTACCCCAGGGTTTAGGTCGAAATATTGAGGTGGTTTTCTTCTGGTAATAATAATAATAATAATAATAAAAGTAATAATTTTGCCTCCACGTTGCACCACTGCTCATCAAGGGCAATGCCAAGGGGAGATAATGGAAATACAAGGAGAACAAAGGGAGATAAGGAGGGGACGACACAGTCCTGGCAGCAAGTTGTTTCTGCCTTGGAATTGGGAACAGATTATCATCCATAGGATAACGGGGGAGATGGGCTGGCACACGGACAGAAGGTCAGGCCAAGGCTGTGGGAGTTGGCAGGGGAGAGGAAAAAGTGAATCTGTATTTCACAGTAAAAATGGCACTGCTAAAGAATGACCCCCAGAGCAGCAGCTGGGGGCAAGGGATGGGTCACACCGGGCACATCCTGAGGCAGAGGAGCCAGGGGACCCCCAGAAATGAAGCAAAGGAGGTGGGGCAGTGAATCCTCCCTGACTGTGAGAGTTGGAGGACAAGGAATGAAGGAAGCTCCTGGTTGGACAGCTGGGGGATGATCAGAGGCTCCAATATCACCATTTCCCCCCATCTGGGCTGTTCTCAGCACCCTCATCCTCACCGAGCACCAAAGGACACTCTGGGAAGCCTCTCTGGCCTTTGACAGCAAACCCAGGCAGGAGCCTGGCCAGGGACCCCATGAAACCTGGAACTCTCAGACAAAAAAGTGGATCTTGATGGAAAACTTATTAAAAGAAAACCCAAACCCACCAGGGTAATTTATTGTGCATAAAAGGCATTCTTGGCTTGCCAGGAGAGAACACGAGGGGTCTGTCCTTTAAACTCCTGACTCCTTGGCTGAGGGAAGCAGAGCAGGTCTCATCTCCTTGGGCCCCAAAGCTTTGGATGCAGCACCACACAGAAAATGCTTTAACTCACAGGAGAGACAGAAAACTGTGGTGCAGGAAGAACCAGGTTAACAGGAAAATGTCAGGGAGCTGCTGGAAGGGGAGCCCCCAGTGCTGAGGGAAACAAGTGGGATCTCTCACAGGCAGGTCACAGAACCAGGGATGCAACAGTTTGCCCAGAGAAGCTGTGGCTGCCCCTGGATCCCTGGAAGTGTCCAAGGCCAGGTTGGACAGGGATTGGAGCAGCCTGGGATAGTGGGAGGTGTCCCTGCCCATGGCAGGGGGTGGCACTGGATGGGCTTTGAGGTCCCTTCCAACCCAAACCATTCCAGGATTCTCTGATTATTATGTATTTTTATTAGTAAGTTGTGATAAGACCCAGGGATGTCTGCCAATGACATAAAATCCAGGAACACTGTGGATTCAGGAAAGGAACAGAGGCTCTGGAGTGGAGGATGTGAGGGCTGGGACAAATTTAATTGCCTTTCTTTAAATAGTTCCTGCTGTGAGGTGGGACCTGGTGGGCTAGAAGGGACAGAGGGACACAGGGGTGGTGATAAATCCCCTCCTAATGGGAAAAAGGGCCCTGTGATCTCCCTGAGATCAGGAAAGGCCTTTGCATGGAAAATACCACACAAGTGAGACTCTGAATCCGTGCACGGCTCTGCTCTCCCACCTCCAGGAGTGCCACAGCAGCAGTGCCAAGGGGAGGGCCCAGGATGGCACATGGAATACTGAGCATCTCACCAGTGAGCCAGGAGGTTTATGTTTGGCTTTACAGCCACAGGTACGGAGTGGGGAGTGGGAGTTCTCCCTGGAATTGTCTGGAAGCAGAGGAAAATCACTGTTGTAGGATAAACATCCTGCTGTGACAGGATAAAACCAAGCAGGTACAAACTGGTCCTAATAACAGCTGAAGGGAGAGTCAGGAGAAGGTTCCTGCCCACCTGGAATTCCCAGGAGCAGGGCAGGGGCACAGGAGCTCCCTGTGATTCACACCTGGTTGGTTATGAAGGAATTCTGTGACACTGAAATGGCTCTAACAGGTATCACCTTGGAGGCCCCTTCCAGACTGTGACCAGAAGATTCCTGAGGATTATCAGTGACTTATCCGGAGGACAGGGAAGTTCTCCAGCACAAATGGGAACTGTTCTGTGTGAGGATGGATCCCACATCCCTTGTCAGCACTGATCCCTCATTTTCCTTTAATTTTGAGAGTGTCACCAACTCGAAGCTCACCCTTGGGTCCAGAGGCAGTGGTTTACAGCCAGGTGGGTGCCTGTGCCTTACCTGTCCCTCAGGGCGTGGTTCCTGATCTCCTCCACCAGCTGGAAGACGCGGGACAGCGGGGCCCGGAACACATCCACGGCCAGGAAGTTCTTCTGCCACGGGGACACGGTGGCTTTCACAAAGATCTGCTGGATGTAGGCCACGGGAGCACCCACGTACTGCGGGGGGACAGGGGCACAGTGAGGGTCCTGGGCACAGGGGAGCTCCCAGCAGGACCAGGCACAGCCTGGGGAAGGGAAGGGCTGTGCCGGGCTCTGTTTGCCCTTCCCTAAGCAGAGGTGGAACGTGACAGGACCAACAGAGCAGGAACAAAAAGGGGGTTTCTCCAAGAGGCAAAATGCCACTGATGGTTCTGGAGCAGCCTGGGGCACTTCTGTGGGAGGCAGGGGCTGCCATTCCTGCTGGATTTGGTCCCTGAAGGGCAGGCAGGAGCAGGGACTCACTGCCTCTCACAGACACCTCACGGTGCTGCAGATCCCCCCAGCCTGTGCTGGCAGGCGGGACTGGATGATCTTGGAGGTCTTTTCCAGCCTCAGTGGCTCTGTGATTCCGTGTGAACCCGCCCCGTCCCTCACAGTGGCAGAGGACACACGAGCAGCAACCAGCAGGTTCCTCACGGAGTCACTGCCAGGTCGCTCCCTTGGACACTCCAGGGACGGGGCAGCACAGCCTTCCCAGGCCACAGAACTGCTCCCAGTGAGGCCCAGATAGCCCAGCAGGGCCGTTCCCCTCAGCCCCAGCACTGCTCCCAGTGAGGAGGCCCCAGCAGCCCAGCAGGGCCGTTCCCCCCAGAACTGCTCCCAGTGAGGATGTTCAGGCAGCCCAGCAAGGGCCGTTCCCCCCAGCCCCAGCACTGCTCCCAGTGAGGCCCTGCGATAGCCCAGCAGGGCCGTTCCCCAGCCCCAGCACTCACCCAGTCGGGTCTCTCGGCCGGGTCCCCGTGCGGCGCCGGGCCGGGCGCGGGGGGAGCGTAATCCCGTAATCCTTCACCGGGGTGCTGAACTCCACCGGGCCCGTCCCCGGCAGCGGCAGCTTCAGCAGCGGGGGTCCCCGGCAGCGGCAGCTTCAGCAGCGGGTAACTGGGGAGAGACCAGGACACAGCAGAGTTGGGGCTTTGGAGGGACTTTGTGAGACAGAAGAGCCCAAAACATGAGCGGGCCCACGCCAGTGCAGGCCCAGCTGTGCAGGACAGGGCACGGGGCATGAGGGTTAAGGTTTCACAGGAACTGATCCGTGTCCTGTCCCAACACAGGAGTCTTTCCCCATTGGAAAGGGATGACTAAAAGTCCTGGAAGAGGAATAAGACAAATTCCTCCACCACCTCAAAGTTAGCCGTGCTAAAAACACTGAGCGTGGCCGTGGCTCAGTTATTGCAAATCCCGCACAAACCCAAGACATTCAGCGCTTTCCAGGGGCTGCCTCCCTGCCCCAAACCCTTTATAATCCTCTAATTTTCCTCACTTGGATTGAAACCATTTCCAAAACTTGTCACTAGTTTCATTTGTCCTCAAATCACTTTTAAAGGCAGCAACGAGACACCAAAACAGCTAAAAATACTGATCTTCTTGCTCCTTTGCCCCCTCAACCTTCGGTTGAGCAGCTGCCCCACAACAAAGGCTTGAAACTACTCAGAAGTTGAGAAACCGGTGTTTCAGAGAGCTTAGAACGGGCTTCGTAACTCCAGAGGTTCTCAACAGTGGTTAAAAGCAAACCAGGAGTGAAGTGGTGGGACAAGCAGAGCTGCAGATACAGCGACCATCGATGGGCTGGGACTGTCAGCACTGAAAGGAACCAGAGAACAACCTGGGTCTTTTCGTGGCCTTACAACTCCTGATACGTTTTCCTGTTTATAGATGACTTTTCTGGCAGTATTTCCAGAACAAATATAAAGGCCTTGGAATTGCTTTCATGCAACGCTCTGCCCACTTCATCAGGGCTTAGTTTGGATCATCAGAGGCCAGGGAGGAACAAGCAACGAGGCCTCAGAGTGAACAACAAACAGCCAAAAAAACCCAATGAAATCAGGGGCAAAGCTTGTCAGATTTGCTTTTTATTAGTCTGACAGAAACACAACATCTACTTATTATCATTTTCTTATGGAACGGGAGGGAAGAGAAAAAGGAATAATAAAATACCAAAATCAAATCAAGTGATAAAACAAAGCACAGGGACTGACCAGACTGAGGGGGAATGATTTTTTCCCTAAATGATTTCAATGCCAGGACAGGACATCCCAGCGTGTTGTTGGGCACGTGGACAAAGAAAAAGCTGAACCTGTTTTTTATTATAATCCCCATTTTCAGAGAAATGACCCACAGGAAACCCACGTCTAAAAGATTTGAACTGAAGGTTCAACCAGCCCCTGTTGTCTGTACACAGCTGTGTGTAGCCACTACAGCCCTTACTGCAACACCTGGACTACTCATGGTGTGGATCCCAGGAGAGCTCAGTCATTGGGATTCCTGTTCTTGGGATTTGGGAGTTGGACCAGCTGATCTCCTGAAGTCCCTTCCAACTCCAACCATTCTGGGACTCTGGGGTCTAACAGAGATGGCAGGAAAGCTCAGGAAGGAGTTCTGGGTTTGAGAAAAGCTCTTTTCAGATGCTAATGTCACCGTGCACCTGAAACCCTTTGGAAAACCCATCATAAAGGAAAAATGGCTCATGCAACAAGCTGGAATTGGTGAACTGAAGTGAGAGTGCATTTTAGTCACCAAGCACAAGGCAGGTCTGAGCAAAAACACTCCTCCAGCTCCTTTATGTATTCCCAGGAGGGCTCAGGGGGCCAGGATGGAGCAGGGCCAGGTGAGCCCCAGGAAACCCCACACTGGTATGTTCCTCCTTCCCAGAGCTCCAGCACCCAGAGCAGCCAGGGAGGATGGAGGGGAGCAAGGGGCTGCCAGGTCCCAGGGAAGACATGGAATTAAACCAGCTCCCAGCTCTGCTGGCTCACTGCAGGACAAGCTGTGGGCCTGTCTGCAGCCTCAGCTCTCGCAGGGACAGCCCAGCCTGGAATCCCACTGCTGAGGAGAGGGGGAATCTGGGAACATTCCCTCTGCCAGAGGCTTGGGAACATCAATATCTGGCAGCAACAGCTCCTTTTCAGCCTTGGCAGGTGCATCAACAGGCCCTGTTTCTGAATAAGTGACAGTGGCTTTGCCCTGTTTCCCACTGACAGGGCCCCAAAACCTTGCCCTGGGAAAGGAGAACTCCCCTTTCCTGTGCAGCAGAACAGAGGCCTCATCACACCCCCCCTGCTCCAGCAGCATCAGGAAATCCCAGGGGAGACTGTTCTGTGGGGATCCAGAACATGAGGAGTCTGAGGGCAACTCAGCTCCTCTGGTTGCCCAAACGGTGCAAAACTGTGAGAGTGAAATGTTCTTCCAGCAATAAATAAATAAATATACACCACCTCCCCCAGGGGCTCTGGGTCCAGCCAGTTCTGCAGTTCTTTAGGAGCAGAACTTCCCTTTTCAGTCAAACAACAAAAACACCTGCAGAGCCTGAGCTGTTTAACTCCCCTGAACCTGCTGCACAGGCTCCTGGCTCATGTTCAACTCCACTGCACCCAGGAGCTGTTCTTCAGAGAAGAGGGCACTTCAAATTCACCCTGATGGCCACCTTTAGAGGCATCACCCGTTCCCTGGGCTGGCAGGAGGAACCACTGCTGTCACACAGGGTCAGTGGCACTCCCCTTTTAGGGAAAAAGGCAGATCCCAAAGCAGATCCGTTCAAAGGGGATGAGGAAAATAAGTGTCACCTACAAAGGATTTAGAGTAAAACAAAAAAACCTTCCCTCTGAAGTGGAGACTGACTTAGATTTTCAGACTACAGAGTGAGAATGAGTCACAGGAATCTGTGCTTTGGATATTACTTTATTATCAAACCCAGATCCATCATGTCTTGTCTCTCAGTGACATTAAAAACAGTGTCCCCTCCAAGGCTGAAGACAAACCCGTTCCACACCGGCACAGCCTCTGTGGTGACTGTGCCAGGAGATCCTCACTCTGCCCTCCCCAGGCAGGAGGAAGCCCTGCATTCACTGCTGCCACCCTGAGCCCAGAACTGAACCTGGATACACGGGGTTTATTCTGGACCACGGCATTTATTTCAGCTCCTAAAAACCTTCTCTGCACACAAGGGTGGTCGGGTTTGACTGAGGTGAGGGGGAGGAAAACAACAACTGAGATCATTTCCTCTGCAGCAGAATTCCACAAGCTCTCCTTGATCCCAGAAGGATCAAGAGGACTGGTTCACCTCCATCCCTTTGAGGAATTCAGGATGCAAGATCCATTCCTGTTTGCTGGAATGTCTTTACTAACACATTTCAGGCTGAGGAATAAAGAACAGATCCCTTTTGCTCCCTTCCCTTCTCCTCTTCCCACCCACGTCTCTGGGGACAGGGATGGACCTTCTCAGCAATTCTGAGGATGTTTCCAGCTCCTTCCCTGTTCACAGAAGTCAGGATGAACCCCCTGGATCACTGGGTATCTTCTTTCCTCTTTAGAAAGACCTGTCCAAGGTCAGGCTTAGGCCTTGTAGCTCCCTCCAGCTCCCTGACAGGAGGGAGGATCCGGGGGGGGGTCGGGCTCTGCTCCCAGGGAACAGGGACAGGAGGAGAGGGAACGGCCTCAGGCTGTGCCAGGGGAGGGTCAGGTTGGATATTGGGGAAATTTCTTCCCTGAAACAGCTGTCCAGCCCTGGCACAGCTGCCCAGGGCAGGGGGGGAGTCCCCATCCCCAGAGGGATTTCAGAGCCCTGTGGATGTGGCACGTGGGGACATGGGCAGTGGTGGCCTTGGCAGTGCTGGGGCGTGGTTGGACTCAACGGTCTCAGAGGGCTTTTCCAACCTTCAGGATTCAGTGATTCCATGATTTTGTGTTCCCTGCTCTGTGCTGGGGGCTCTGACCAGCCATGCTGCACAGGAACGCTGCCAAAAGGAGCTTCTGTTCCAAAGCTGGGCCTTGATCTTCCCCCACCAGCTTCTTTCTCCTGATTCCAGCTCGTTTCTCACTCATTTTTGCAGAGGGGGGGCCGAGGTGAATCAGTGAGATCCGTCCCAGGAAAACACAGCATTTCCCAGGAGCACAAATCACCCAATCCCAGCAGTAAATCCGTGCCAAGGACCAGTGCTGGGTCCTCAGCACGAGGCAAGGGCAGATGTGACACTGTGTGGCCACCAGAGAGGCCCTGTCCAGGCCAGCAGAGCTGCCCTGGGGGTGCCCATCCCACAGCTCCCTTGGGAACCCCCCTGCCCAGGGATCAGTGTCCACCCAGGCACGGAGCCAAGCCCACACACAGGGGATGATCCCACACCCAGCAAACAGGCAGGAGGCACCTCGGCCTGCCAGGGATGTTCTCCAAGTGCTGGATGCAGAGAGCAGCCCCTGCATTGAGCCCTGGCCAGAAAATGCCCCAACCACAGAGGAAACCAAGGAGAAATCCAACTCCCTTGGGATGCAGCCTGGATGCAACGGGACATAATCAGTTTTATTTCTCACTTTAAAGAGATCAGCAATATGTGGACTGCAGCTGCAAAGCTACCTGGCCAAGAGAAGAGCTCTTCCCAAATCCCTCAGAAGCATGGATCTGTGCTCCCTTCAGCACCACTTCCCTTCTCAGCTTGGAAACACCACAGCAAGTGGAAGGAAGGAGGGGTGGGGGGAAAGGGCACGCTCCAAACACCTTGATAAAGTAACAGCACCCTGGGACACCCCCAGGGATCCAGGGGCAGCCACAGCTTCTCTGGGCAGCCTGTGCCAGGGTCTGCCCACCCTCCCAGCCAGGAATCTCTTCCTGATACAGGAAATAGGTGCAGCTACAGGAGACAGATGAAGTTTGTGGCACCATCCACCCTAAGAGGAAGACTTGAAGACCTCAACCCCAAACTCAGCTTCCCACACCCATTTCAGTGAGCTGTGCAGAGACAGCCTGTCAGAGCTGGCTCCTGCCAGAGCTCACTCTCACCACACTGACATGCTCAGGGGCAGAAGGGCCCCGCTCCAGAACAGGTCTGACCTAATTAGCAAGGCCACTTCTCCAGCCAGAATTAACACCCAGTCA